TCTAATCTGAAATGATATGAATTTCACTTAGAAAGTAAAACCTTTTGTGGCTATGTTAATTATATTCATTTTATTGATCTTCTTAGTACCATGATTTTTTTATCCTTGAAATTTTGGTGGTTAATCTTGAAATATAATTCTGGCTAATATGAGTGGGTAATGGGTGTAGCATACTGATGTTTAGAATATTTCTGACTCTGGTGTTCGTATGGACTTTAGGCTTGTTGATATTTGAGAATCTAGGTGTTTTATGATTAATAACTCTACTAGTTTGTCTTTCCACCTGTAACAGTAAGATTATTATTTTTCCACCTCCTAGATGTTGCATGTATATAAATGATCGAATGGATTGGTTGTTTTATTTGATATTGTAGTGATTTCTTGTTGTTTGGATTATATTGTCATGACATAAAGCATAAAGTTGTTTTATCTTTCATTCGTGTAGTTCTTGCGGATCAATTTGAGGTATCTTGTGCTCTCAAAGCAAACAAAATCTGCTTATTATCCTGAAATTACCCTGGCGAAACAACTATATATCAAAATCGGTAGGTATACCTCTTTGTTGTTGTTGTGATTAAGAGTATTTGAATGTTATTTATATGTTTATTGGTTTTAAATTTTTAGGTATATTATGGATGAGCATCCGGACTACATTAACTTAAATGATGAAATTAGGAATGACATACATTTTGAATTGGGTGATGACTTATTGAATATGGATGATGATCCAATATATTACATCAACTTCAGTGATGATGAAATTATAGAAGAGATGCCTCTTAATTTAGGATATGACATATCGAATGCTTTAACTGATAACATTCCAAATGTCATTCCCTTGACACTGACAAAGAATTCTAATATTTTGATTGAGGTTGGAATGGAATTTTTCGAACAAAAGGATGTAGTGGACTTGTATACATCATATGGCAAGGTAAAAGGTTTCAGAATCCGAATACGAACAAGGAGGGGTAATTACTTCAAGCTAGTTTGTGCTAGACAGGGTCATCCACCACCAAAAAATGATAAAGATATTGCTCAAGTGTGTCAGACCAAATTAAAGAATACATCATCATTACGCGTTGGGTGTGAAGCTTGTGTAAGTGCTTATAAAAGTCAAAACACAAAAATGTGGAGAATTACACAATTTAACGACAACCATAATCATGGTCTTGTGACTCCAAAGAGTGTTCATTATCTCAGATCACACAAAAAAATGTCTGATGCTGCAAGATCATTGGTTGAACACTTTAGTGATGCAAGCTTGCCCACAGGAAAAGTAGCTACCATCTTCAAAGGCGATGAGTTATCATTTGACAGTTGAGATTGTTATAATCATCTAAAAAATGTGAGGAGAAGAATATATAACACAAGAGATGCACAAGCTGTGTTACACTATTGTGTTAAGCAACTATCATTAAATCCAAAATTCTTTTATTCCATTAAATGTGACGATGAAGATCGCATGGAAAGCTTTTTTTGGATTGATGCAAGGTCCAGGCAAGCTTATAAGCTATTTGGTGATGTCATCACATTTGACACGACATATAGAACTAATAAATATTCAATGCCATTTGGACCTTTTGTCGGTGTAAATAATCATTTACAGTCAATCTTGTTCGGATGTGCTTTATTGAAAGACGAAACAGAAGATACTTTTGTGTGGCTATTTAAGGAATGACTTCGAGGAATGAATGGGAAACATCTGGGTGCCTTAATTACTAATCAGGTATAATCATTTTAAGTACATTTTTTCCATTGTTTCATATATTAATCATTGTATTCTTACATATGTCATTGAATTTATAGGACATGTCAATTACCAATGCAGTATCCAAAGTTTTCCCAAAAAGTAAGCATCGATTTTGTATGTGGCATGTAACACCCCATATATATCTAGTAATGTTATCAAGTTATCGTATTAAGTTGCGCTTAATTAAAATTGCGGAATATCTTTTTTTTAAGAAATTATGCTGTCATTAACCATTACCAACTTGATTACTTAACCATTTTCAAAACATCGCCTGTATGTACATTGCAATAAACAGCAAACTGGAATACCTCATCAATTAATTAACATAAGTATGTCTCTAGTCACGGAACTACCACACGTAGACCGCACCAACTAGCAGTTTATACAACTCAACTCAAAAGTATCAACAACATAGTGGCATGGACAACTCTCATGCTCACCCAAATAAGGCAACAAAGCCCAACATAAGTCTCAACTCAATAATCATAAATGACAGAAAACGTAAACAACATCCAATCCAGTCATGCCAGCATAATATGAACAACACTAAACATCAACTAAGCTCTGGCCTCCTGCCGCCAGAGGCATCAATCCTCATACTACCTGAACCTGAAATAAGCATTCCCTAAACATGGGGTGAGATCTCTAAACAAGAAATCTCAGTAAGGCAAGAGGTTCTCAAGGATCTTCCACCCCAAGCTCACTTACATGTGAAATATAAGTTCAAAAGCAGTTCATCAATATCATTTCTAAAACAGTGCAATGCAGCAGATAATCATGTGATGTGCGTCAATACTATTCTACTGGCCAGAGAAATGCAGGATTTATATACGCCAAATACCCACACATAGTGCAAGACGCTACTTGCATCGACCCCGGATCACCGTCTTGTACGACGCCACATACTCAGGCTTACCGTCAAGATGCAACAACAAATGCATATTAAAAGCCATTACAAATAAAGCTCAACAGCATTCCAAATATATCAAAGCATGTAGCACAACATGCATATAACCATTCCCTCATTGGGGCATGGTGAAACTACACAATGGCTAAACTGAGGACACGAAAGCTTACCTTACAAGCTAACTATCCAATGCCAAGAGTCCACACAAGCTCAAGGCCCACAAACAGTAAAATCACAATCTACCCATACCATAATTAATGATCAATAATCATAGCTCAGATTACACAAGTGATTACATCTTTCTTACTCATTTTAACTCATTACATGTTGTTTCTGCAGGAAGTATTCGAATACTTCACGAGTAGTATTCGAATACTCCAGCTCTCCAGAAAGTATTCGATTACTTTCACTAAAGTATTCGAATACTCACAAGTATCTGAATACTTTTCCCCCCAGTATCCGAATACCTCAGTATTTGAATACCAAACCTCACTGTATTCGAATACCTTCCAGTATTCGAATACTTCTTCACAGGTATCCGAATACTTTTCTTCCTAGAAAAGTATTCCAATACTCCTGCAAGGAGTATTCGATTACCAAGGACAAGTATTCGAATACTACACGGAAAGTATTCGAATACCTCTCCAATAGGATGCAGAAATTCGAGCCAACTTCTGCATAATGCCAAATTTAAGGATCCAAAAGTGATTGGGAGTCCAATGACTCCGTAAACAGATAACCACCAACATGTTATGAACTCAAAAACACATTCCTTTACTCAAATGGTTAAAGTTCCTCTTTTTAATGGATTAAACAAGCTTAGACATAAAAAAGGCAAAGGTTAAGCTCATGGTATACCTCAACTCTGAAAATTCAGAAACAAGGCTCCTCCTTGGAGCTTACAACAAGGCTTAAGGGTTCAGACACAAAAGAGCCACGAAAATACAAATCAAGCAAGGTCTTTTCTTCACCAAGTTAGCTCCTTGGAGCCAAAAATGCCATGAGGGTGGCCTCACCCACCCAAACACACAAAACTCAGCATAAAACCTCCTCACACAGCAGCTGGTATACCCAAAAAAGGTCTCCTTTCACACTCACAAGGATCTCTCCCACTCACACAAGGTATCTAGTGAAGAGAAATGGAGGAGAAGAGGTCACAATGCACACCAAAAGGATGAGGAAGCAATGGAACAGTGGAATGGAGGGTGGCAGCAACACAAGACCAGAAAACTCACGTAGGCACATCACACATGACCTAGGGTTTTGTGCAAAAGTCCTATATATAGCCTCATTAACTCAAACCACATTGTATTAGCAAAAATAGCTACGCTTAGCATTTTAATCCCAAACTTAGGATTCTTAACCTACTCAATTTTACAAGAATTAACATATTTTTCTTATATTTTTCGGAGCACCTTTCCGGTACGCGCTTTTCATAGCCAGTATCAATTTCTACCACTAGTTCTCATTATATTAACTTGAAACTCGTTTTACAAGTCCTATATATTATTCTAGGAATTATCATGCACTTAATATAATTTTCCAGGATACTTTTTCGGTACGCATTTATACCGACTAGCAGAACCAGTATCTGCACTTTTCGTCAGAAAAGCGACTTTTAGCATTATTACTCACTTACTATAATTATTAGAGCCTCATAATAATAATTGCTGTCAATTATGAAATTATCTCATTAAACTCATAATTAAATGATTAATTTCCTTAATTAACGGTGCGGTTCTTACTATTTGGTGATGTCATCACATTTGACACGACATACAGAACTAATAAATATTCAATGCCATTTGGACCTTTTCTCGGTGTCAATAATCATTTACAATCAATCTTGTTCGGATGTGCTTTATTGAAAGACGAAACAGAAGATACTTTTGTGTGGCTATTTAAGGAATGACTTCGAGGAATGAATGGGAAACATCCGGGTGCCATAATTACTAATCAGGTATAATCATTTTAAGTACATTTTTTCCATTGTTTCATATATTAATCATTGTATTCTTACATATGTCATTGAATTTATAGGACATGTCAATTACCAATGCAGTATCCAAAGTTTTCCCAAAAAGTAAGCATCGATTTTGTATGTGGCACATCACAAAAAAGTTTCCAGAAAAATTGTCTCATGTCTATCAGCAGCATGCCACATTTAAGAGTAATTTCAATATCTGTATCCATACAAAAAAGAGCACTCAAGATTTTGAAGACAAATGGCAACGTATTCTTGATAACTTTGGTCTTCATGAGAATGAGTGGTTGCAGTCACTTTATTCAATTAAATCGTCTTGGATACCAATCTTTAACATATCCATTTTCTTTACTGGTATGAGCACCACTCAGCGTAGTGAAAGCATCAATTCATTCTTTGATGGTTTTGTTACATCTGGCACAACCTTAAATGAGTTTGTAGAAAAATATAATCAAGCAGTAGATGCTCGTTATGATTCATTCAAAAAACAAGACTTTGAATCCAGGCATAAAGAAAGACATTTAACATTGAATATGCCATTGGAAGAGCATGCAGCTAAGGTCTACACACGTGCAATTTTTACAAAGTTTAGTGATGTACTTTCTCATAGTTTTCCTCTCTCTATGGAGAAACTTGGAAATGATGGTGAGTGGGTTACCTATCGAGTTTTTAATAGGAAAGAGAAGGATTATTCTGCAACTGTGAAGATGAAGTTGGAAAATAGAGAAACTAGATGTTCTTGTCAATATTTTGAGTTCGTGGGAATCCCATGTGAGCATATTATTGCTATTTTTTCGGTTGAAAATGTTGAGCAGATCCCTGAACATATGATTTTGCGATGCTGGAGCAAGGAAGGAAATGATATAATTAGTACCAATAAGGACATTTGTAATTTTGATGGAGAAGGACTCCTTTGCGGCTTTGAAATACGCCATAGAGTTTCGAAACTTATTAAGCTTGCAGATAGGTCCAATGAAGCAGCTAAATTCGCTTGTGATGGTCTTGATTCTCTCACTGAATCTTTAGGAAAATTTCCAACACCTGATGATAGTATTATTGGTCTTGAGGATTTTGATTCACATTACTTGAGTTCTCAAACTGAAGAGTCATCTATGATGAGATTGAATGATCTCAATATTTCACAAACGAAAGGTCGAAAAAGGGAGTCACACAATATCTCACAGGGACATAGAATTCATAGTGGGATTGAAGAAGCATCAAAGAATACTAATATTTGTGGAAATTGCAAGAAACGGGGACATAATAAGCGTACATGTAGAGAGAAAAAATTATATTGACTTTAGTTTTTTTATTTATTTTGGGTTACATTACATTTGTTACATGATTATTATTTAATTTGTTATTTCTTTTAGTTGGTATAAGACGTATTGTATTATTGTATGTAATTAGAAGTCCTATATAAACTAGTTGACGAGCATCAACGAGTTGAAATGCGTTTGATGCTATAGTAAAATTGTTAATAAAAATTTTAGAGCTTATTTCTATCTGGAGATGCTATAAGTCTGTTATGATTCAAGCATCTTTGAGAATGAAACTAAAGATTTAAAAGTTGGCAAACAGAAATTAAGTTAATTACTTATCACAATTAAGCTTTTCGGGTTCAATTACAAAACCCTTTTTAGCAGAATTGGACTTACAAAACCGCGATAATTGATCTGCTCAAAAAATCGAATCTGGTAATTCTAACTCTTGATAATTAATGAAAGTTTTACTTTTGATAAATTCAACTTACCCCTTTTAACAATAGACGCATTGATAAATTCAACTCTTGTACAAAATAAGCTGTACTTTCATCAAGGTCGAGTAAATTTTATCTCTGAATGGTGCCTCTTCCCTAGAAACTCAAATTGGGAGGGTGAACCAAAATGAATGGTGCAGTTAACTATAAGAAAAATGCCAAAAAGAAAAATAAAATAAAATGAATGGTGCAGTTAACTACAAGGGCTGCAAAGGTTTTTCAAATCCTCTTCCTTTGCATACCAGGTTGGTATTATTTTTGAAACATGGGGATAAAGATCCTTGTACGAGTTCCTAATGGTTCCTTCTGCAACTCCAGTGGCAACCGATATATCTGCACCAACACAATGGGTCAGATACATATTTACAACAGCATAGCAGTTAACTCTTATAATAAAGAATAGCTGCATACATATGAATGTTTCTCTAGAAACCTATTTGAAATCATTTTAAATTCCAAATTTAAATTCACCACATCAACAACTAAGAAATTAGAGAGACAATTTTCACAAACAATTAAACCAACTAATATGTTTGTATTCCACGCCTTCATGTTTCCCTCTAATAATTGGCACAGACCTTTGAGAGGTTTTTTATCTTCTGAAAGCTGAGTTATGATGTATATAACTGCTGCAGCAATTGATATGGGACTCCTCCTGGCAGATTAAGCATGTTATTAGAATCAACCATAAGAATATAATAGCATCCATCCGAAGATCATGGGGTACAGAAAAAAATTAGGATTCAAGAAAACATTAAGGTAAAGTTGAACAGAGTACGAGTTTATGACAGTGAAACCTAAAAACGTGACAATGGATTAAAGAGGATATGCAATAGGAATCCTGAAAAACTCACACTATTAACTTTTACAGAACAGAATCCAGTTACCCTCCGTACACCGATCACATATGAATTAAATCAGGCAGATCAAGAAGATAAAATGAGAAACCAAACTGTTCTTCGCTGGTAAATAAAGATTCACCATCTGTATTCAAATATTAATTGGACTTCCAAAACCGCGATAATTGATCTGCTCAAAAAATCGAATCTGGTAAAAATCGAACCCTAGCTCGTGTATTTGGCGAAGCTCTCCGCGGGATGCAGCGGCGGCGGCACGACAGAGGCAGGCGGCGCCGTCGGGACAGAGGCTGCGACGGAGGCCGGCGGCACCGTCGGGACAGAGGATATGGGCAGCGGCGGCGGTGGCAAAGTGTATAATGAGAGAGAAGGGAAGAGAGAGAAGGGAAGAGAGAGAAGGGAAGAGAGAGAAAGGGGAGAGAGAAACGAATATAGAGGGGCTATTTAAGAGACCAATGAGGACCGTGGGATCGCCACTACCAATCTAACGGTGAGATTGATTGGTAGTAACATTGGTTGTAACTTTATTTGGTTGTCACAATATCCTGTCCCTTCTTGGGATAAATCATTCGGTATTCGATCGCTAACGGATGCCAATTAAATCTGAATTCGAGCTGGTAGGATTACGAAGATGAGAAAACTCTCCCTGACATACTTTTAACCAATGTTATTAAAATCGGCCCGGTCATTGACCCGGTCAAGATACTGGGTCACTGATTCAACTAGTGGGTCACTAGTTCAACCGAATGACCCGTTAATTATATGAATTTATATTAAAAAATTATAAACATACTCAAATATCTTAATAAAATGATAAAAATTTCAAATATTTTAATATAAAAAATAATAAATCACATATTATTATTCAATAAAGAATCAAACAAAAATATAATAATCATGATACGAGGCTTTAGGTTTAGAAAACAATATCTCTAATTATAAATCAAATCAAAATTCTCTACATAGTGCATAATTGAGATAATATTAGTGTTATAGGTACATAACTTATGTAAGTCAATAAGCAAAAACATATTCAAATATGTCCATTATAATTTTTTTTTTAAATAATTTTGGAATTTTTTTTTTGGGACCGGGTCACCGGTTTTCATGAAAACCGGCTGGGTCGCACCGGTTCTGATGCATGACCGGTCCATTGCCTCAACTGGACCGGTTATATGACCAGTTTATCGATTCCCAGGTCAGTCCGATTTTATTAACACTGCTTTTAACATAATTGCGTACTCAGGGCTCGACCCCAAAACCAGTGGTTGGGCTCAGTTAGTCCATGTGTTTATAATACATATGATTATGTCCCTTACATTGGTTGGGTTCAGTTAGTCCATGTGTTTATAATACATATGATTCTGTCCCTTACATAAAATTCCTAAGTCTGCCACTAATAATCATTTTTAGAATATGTTAATAAATGCATAATATGAGATTATTTTTTTTCATACCTCTTTCTAAAATTTATCTTAAGGATTTTTCTTATTTTTGGTAATGTTTTGCAATTTTACTTTAGATTTGACCATGATGATAATGGTGAAAATGTGGAGAAATCTATATAATAAACTCTTATGCTCAAACAATAATTATTTAAGTAAGTTCTTAAACTGATCTAAGAGTGTCTTACAAGTAGGAGTTTATCCCTTTTATAGATTGAGTTTGATAATACCAAGTAAAGAGGTGTCCAGTTAACCAGTAGTCTTGAGTTCGAGTTATACGTATGCTTTTTGTGTTAAAATCTTGATAGGAAAATTTTTGTTGCCCTACTAATTCTAGCTAGCTCGATTAGATTAGTCAATTAATTGATAAATCGACCTCTAAAAAAGGGAGTTACTTCCATGAGAGTTACCTCAATTATAATTTGATGAATGAATGAATTTTATAGGTTTAATAGATTGTATTCATCCCTACACCCAAGAAAAAAATTGTATTCATCCTATTGACAATTATAAGGGGATGACAAATTTCCAAAATGGAAAAATGTGTTTATTCTATGAAGAAAAAAAAAGTGAAGATTTTTCTTACGATTGTAGTTTTACGTGAAAAAAATGTCATTGTAACAACTCCAATTATCCCTTACAATTAATATAGGAATCCTGATGTGAGCGTATATCATAGGAAGCAATAAAGGGAAATACTTAGAGGGAAACATTTAACCTTGATGAGTTAGCAAGGAATATTCCAGAAGAGGTTAAACAGAATTCAGTTGGTAAATTATGAATTGGCAGGAAGGGCAGTGTTTGAGGGACTTGGGACTTGGGATTTGGGAGAGAGTAGAGCCTCTCTAATTACTCTACTCTATCATTTTCTTCCCTTGTTTCGTTATAACTTTTCTGTTAACAATTCCTTGTATCAGTATTATTTCCCTGTATTGTTGATTTGTTTTAATCCTCTATACGGTTGCATAATATATTAGCAACACAAGCTTTGTTCCATAAGAACGGAGATGAATGCTCCTAGAGACCTTTCATCTACCAATAAGTATTACAACCTTGCTCATGCTGTGAATGAAGTGGTCATAAGGCAACCATCAATGTTACAAGCTGTTTCATTCGAACAACTATTGGTGCTCTGTAACTTCTTGATATTGGAGTGGATCTCTATCTATCATGTTACTACCTCATTCTTATTTCCCACAAACTTCAAAGCCTGGTGAAGATGAGATGCCACTGCTTCGAAAGCATGATTGGAGCCGAAATGAAGGGAGGACGCACTTAATCCATTCCTAAACAATTTAGGGCTTAATTACTCATCATTACACTTGAATTTCTAACAATAAAAAAAGAAAAAAAAAAGGTGGCAAAACCCTGTACACTTGAATTTCTAACAATAAGTGTTAAAAACTATATACATGCTTTGAAACAGCCTTAATTTCACTCAACACGAATCAAAATAATATAGTGAATGTTAAAAGAAACTAGCCAAGAAAAAAGCAGTGTCTTGGAAGAATATATATCATAGACAGATAACTAAATAAACAAATTTCTAGAGAAGATCAATGTTCCTCTCCCAACTTTTGTGAGGCTGGTTTGCATGTTTCAGAGGCTTGGATCCATGGATCACGCTCTTTCTGTCCAGATGTCAATTCCAATGCTGTTTTGGCTATGCTTTTGGTTGAAGTGGGGCTTAATTCTACCACAAACTATGCCGAATTAAGGTTGTCCTTCGGGTCCAGGTGGGCATTTCTGGTGTGCTTTTGATGTCTCCTGAGTTGTGCAATTCTAAGAACACAGGTATCAAAGTTTAGACAATTTCAGTTTGGTAATAGTTTAATTGTGTCATGATCATGTTTATGAGTTCCTTGTTACTTCTGCTGAGCTGCTTCGGTAACAGAGAGTAAGAAACCAAATGTTGCGTAATATAGTGCATAAGGCCACAATTCTGGTAACTTGTGAACTAATATGTTTGTATCTTCTTATTCATTCATTTCCAAATTCCAATTCCTTCTACCAACTTTGTTTTACTCAAGCAATGAATTATTAAATAAATGAATAAAGATCATTCAAATCAAACAAAGAATCACAAAACAGCTAGCTCAATTGGTGACATTAATCGGAAGCAAACTGGAATATCTAAAAAAATAATAATAAAAAATCACAAAAACAAAACATTAGCAACAACATTACCTGGCTTCTACTCTGTCCATTCAGCAATCAAACGCTCCAACACCACCAAAACCCTTTCTCTACCACCCTCACCGTCACGTTCAAAACCCGAAAGAGCAGAATAAAACTCCATGGCCTCATTCACCCTTGCCTCCATCAACAACCCGCGATAAACCCACTCCTTGGAATCGCAGCAAGGTGCGAACTTGGAACCACCCATCATGTCCCTGAAGGCCTTCAAGGCTTCGAGAACGAGCCCGTTGATGCAAAGGCCTTGGATGAGAACCTCGTACACGGTCTCATCGGGGGAGCACGGGGTGTCGGGCCGCTGCAACCAGCGGAAGACCTTGAGCGCGTGGTTGCACTTGCGCAGTCGGATGTAGGAAGAGAGGAGGGAGAGGGTGATGGGTGGGATGTAGTGGTGGGAGTGAGGAGTGTGGTTGAGGTGTGTGAGGAGTGACATGGGTTGGGTGAGGTCGTGCTGGGAGGTGAGGGAGTGGACCACGGCGGAGAGAGGGAGGGATTGGAGCGGAGGGTTTGCGAGGAGGGCGGCGGTGAAGAGGCGCAGCGCCGTGGGGAGTTGGTTAGAGTCGCAGAGGCGAGGGATGAGGTGGTTGATCTTGGTTAGGTCTGAGTCCGTTAGAGTTGTTATTTCGGAATGGGAATAAGGTGGTTCCTTTGAAGGGGAAGAAGATGAAGAAGAAAAGGGACCAAAACGCATTTTGCAAACAGTGGTTTTTGTGGGGCGGTGAAGGTGGAGGCGTTGGAGGAAACTCATGCTCAGATTATGAGACTCGCTTCTCTAGAAATAATTGGAAAAGGAGGGAGATATAGTCAAATTTTACACATGAGAATATGTTCCATTTTATATAGGTTTTAGCCCCTTTGTTATAATGTTATAAATTTTTTTTTTTGTAATGGATCCTAATTATTTTTTTTTTTAGGCAAATCAGATATTCTCAGTGTTCCTATAGATTCAAGTTTTTGAACCGAGTACAAGACTAATATCCGAAATTTGGGAACGTGGTCTGGAATTACGGTATTTCTTATCCCTCCCCAATGTGACATTTGGTGAGACTCTAAACATAGTTCTTGTCCTCACCTTGTTCGGTCCTCCTGCAACTAGGGATGTAAACGGGCTAAGCCAGCCTACGACTTCGCCTATATCAGGTCAGGCTTAGCCGATTACATATAGTCACAGGCTTAAACTTTTAAAAAAATCTATTTAAAAAGTAAGTCGTAAGCTTTTTTTTACATGTTAAGCTTTTATAAGTCTAGAGGTCGACTTATATCATATTATTTCTTTTAAATAAAACAAATAAAATTATTATTTTAATAATTTTTAATAATAAAGTGATATTATTTAATTATTAAATGTTTAATAAATTTAAACAGATTAAAAACCCTAAGCCAAGGTTTTTATTTTTTAAATGTAGGTCAGGCTAGGCTTTTAATTTAGGTCTACACAAATCAAACAAGCCAGTTCTAGCCTAAGGTATTTTACACAGGCCTAGGCTATTTAAACAAAAGCCTAACCTATTTACACCCTATCTGCAACTAACTCAGCTGCCCCACTTGGGTTCCTTTTATTTTATTTTTTTTGGAAACAAAGGAATTATAAAACAAAATTACACGCCTCTAACTAGGCGAGGACAAGCTACTCCTATAACATCACTACTCAATAAACTAAGACTATCCTCAGGAGGATTAGCCAAAAAGACAGTCTCCCATCCTTGAGATGTTGCAAAATTGGCCATCCAGTCAGCAACCCTATTGGCTTCTCTAAAGGTGTGCACGAGTTCTAACTGCCAGTCAAGGTTCTTCAACAGAATGACCTTCTTCACCAACCCAACTAGAGGGTGAGAGTCTGCCACTCCTTCTCTAATCATGTTTAGAGCTGTTTGTGAATCACCCTCCAGTATAACTCTCCTATAGCCAAGGTCCCAGGCTAGTTGAAGTCCCAAATATATTCCCCAAATCTCAGGTTTCACAGAGGAGCAATAACCCAGATTCCTTGCAAAACCATGCAGCCAATTTCCATCATGATCTCGTAAAACGCCACCGCATCCACTTTGTGTACTTCCCTTCTTGGAAGAGCCATCCGTGTTCACTTTAATCCAACCCACCGGGGGAGAGCGCCACTGGACCATAATCTCATGCCTTATACCATGCTGCAAGCCAGCCTTTTTATACAAAACACCAGCTTCTATAAAATTTGAAAAATACGAATAAGCTAACCTCCCAGTCTCACCCACCTTAGGAACAATGTTTTCAAACAGAAATCTGTTTCTCTCTTTCCAAATGAACCAACAGACAAGCCCAAACAGAATATTCCCCTTCATCCCTCCTACCATGCATGATTTTTCCCCCAAGTTAGTGCTCAACCATGAATGTAGAGGCAGTGCCAGAAAAGCATACCATTTATTAGGTGAAATAAAATTCAGCCATACCTTTTTGAACCAGCTACAATCCCTGATAGTATGCAGGCAGCTTTCAGAGAAAGATAGACATCTAGGACAGGTGCTAGAAGTAGCCAAGTGCCTTTGGACTCTCCTTTGATTAGTGAGCAAATTTTCCCCAAGGAGCATCCAAAGAAAAGTTTTGACCCTTGGGGGCCCATTCCAATCCCAAATTCTACTCCAGTGACTTTGAAGGTGGCTGCTATCCTCACTACTCAGCAAACTAAAAGCAGATTTAACTGAAAACCCCCCATCCTGGGAGTAGTCCCATAATACCCTGTCCTCGTCTTCATTCAGGCTAGGAGGACAGATACCTTGTATGAGATTCAATGCCTCCTGGGAAATCATATCTCTAAACACCTCCCATTTCCATTCCCCCTTAGCATCCACCATATAAGCAACATTGGCATCCAACAACTCAGGAGGAATTTCCAGAATGGTATGATCTAATAGGGGACCAATAGAAAGCCATTTGTCCTTCCAGAAGGCAGTACCCCTACCATTACCCACTGAAATCCTAGACCCTTCATGTACCATAGGCCAGACTTTGGATAATCCCAGCCACAAATTAGATCCACCAGATTTCATAGGAAACTTGGGTAGTAAGCTGTCCGAGACCTTGTATTTGTTCTTAAGCACCTAGACCCACAGATCATTCCTATGAGTAAGCATTCCATGCCCAACTTTCATCAAAAAAGCCCTGTTAGTCAATCTCAAGTTTCTAATTCCCAATCCTCCATTTTCCTTCGATCTACAGACCACATCCCAAGAGGTAGCATGCATCTTTCTTCTCTCCAAACTTGATCCCCAAACGAATCCCCTCATTCTTTTCTCCACTGCATCACACACTCCAACAGGGATAAAGGATGTTTGCATGGAATAAGTGGGGAGAGCAGCCAAAACAGCTTTTGTTAACACCACCCTTCCAGCCATGGAGAGGGACTTTTCCTTCCAAGCACTTAATCTGCTGTTAGTCTTATCAAGAATGAATCTGAAAGTGTTTCTGTTCACTCTTTTATGATGAATAGGGATACCTAAGTATTTGCCAAGATCAGCCGTGATCCCACACTTAAGGAACTGGCTAAGTTCTCCACGCCTGGTATGGTTAACATTCTTGGAGAAGAAACATCTTGTCTTCTCACAGCTAACTTTCTGGCCAGAAGCCTCACAGAACTGATGAAGAATACCAGCAATCAACTCAGCTTGATCTCTCCTAGCTTCAGAAAAGATAAGCAAATCATCAGCAAAAAACAGATGTGATATTGGGGGGCCTTTCTTTCCTAGTCTCACAGGAACCCAGGCATTGTGATTGACAGCTTCAGTGATCATGTGTCCCAGTCTCTCAATGCAAAGGACAAACAGATATGGGGATAGGGGATCCCCTTGTCTAATACCTCTCAAAGGTTTAAATTCACCAGTTTTTTCTCCATTCCATAGGACATCCATAGTGGAAGAGGAGACACAAGCCATTATGAGTTGGATCATGTTTTTAGCCAAACCAGAAAGAGTCAAAGTTTCCTCCAAAAATACCCAACTCACCCTGTCATAAGCCTTCTCCAAATCCACCTTCACAGCCATCCAGCCTTTCTTACCTTTCTTTGACCTCATAGAGTGGAAAATCTCTTGACTAATTATGATATTATCAGAAGAGTGCCTGCCTTGTACAAAGCTGCACTGGTTAGGCATAATTAGGTTGCCCATGTGACTCCTCAATCTATTGGTAATCACTTTGGTGATAACCTTGTAAACTACATTACAGAGGCTAATGGGTCTAAAGTGACTTATCCTCTCTGGGCTATCCACCTTCGGAATAAGACATATAAGAGTTTGGTTCACCTGAGCTACTCTCTTGGGGTCCTCAAATACCTTCCTCACCAAATTAATCACTGAGTTTCCCACTTTTTCCCATTGAGATTGGAAAAAAATAGCATGAAGGCCATCAGCCCCTGGGGCTTTAAAAGGATGCATCTGAAGCACAGTATTTTTGATTTCCTCCACACTAGGACTTAAGTCAATTCTTCTCCAGCTCAGATTGTCTATCACAGGAAAATGATTTCCACACAGAGTGCTAGTGATCTGAGGTTCCTCAACATACAGCTTCTTAAAGTAGTCAGTAGCCAACTGCTTGAGTTTCTCCGGATCCTCCACCCATGTATCATCCTCATTTTTAAGAGCCAGAACCTTATTTCTTCTATTTCTAACCACAGCACTAGCATGAAAATACTTCGAGTTCCTGTCTCCAAATGCTAGCCAATTGCACCTAGACCTTTGGAACCAGGTAATCTCCTCCTGGATGTAAATGGAATTTAGTTCACTCCATAAAGATCTCTGGAGTCTCTCCAAGGCTGCATCAGGACCCCTACACAACTGGTTGTCCACCCCTTTTATTCTTTTCTGGATCAAGTGCTTTCTTCTCTGGGCCTCTTTGAAACTGGAATTATGCCAAGCACAAGCCTCAATGTGAAACTTGTCTTTAGCTTCACTCTAAACAGCATCCTTCTCCCAGCAACTATCCACTACATCCCCAATACTAGCATCTGTTAGCCAAGCTGCTAGGAACCTGAAGGGCTTGTGACCTCCAGAGTTGCCAATTCTGTTATCATCCTTAAGGATTATAGGTCTATGGTCCGAACCATGGAAATGGAGGTGAACAATGGCTCTATTAGGAAAAGCCAGGTGCCATTCCTCATTAACCACCACCCTATCAATCCTCTCTTGTATAGTTCCTCTCTTCCAAGTGAATTTGGGTCCAGAAAAACCCAAATCTGATAAACCACTCTCACAAAGACAGTCACCAAATTCCTGCATACTATTCCAGCTAAGACCAGCACCCCCAATCTTGTCCCATTCCTCTAGGTATGAGTTAAAATCACCCATTGCAATCCATTTGCCAATACTACTAGCAACAATTCTTCTCATACTATCCCACAACAGTCTCCTCTCTACACTTCTAGGGCTACCATAGATGAAAGTAACAAGTTCCTCAACTCCTGATTGCACCCACTGAATATTCGTGTGCACAAACTGATGATCCTCTTCAATGACACTCACATTAGCCATATTTTTATTCCACAAAACCCATATTCCTCCAGAAAAACCGACAGCTTCCCTTATAAAGGAACTATCAAAGCCTAAACATCTAGATACCTGTTTGGCCTTATTGCCACTAATTCTGGTTTCCAACAAGGCCAGCACTTGGATCTTATTTTGAAACACAAAATCTTTAATCAGAGCAGAGAATCCTTTCTTCCCTGCTCCCCTACAATTCCATGTGCTAATTATCATGAAAATTACAATTAAAAGGAAAGAAAGACTCACCCCCAGCTAGACCACCCCAAATGGTCCTTGCATTGTAGCAGCAACATTTGTAATATCGTCCAGGGCCATCCCTGTTCTGTCATTATGGCCTACCCCCTTGCCTCCACTTCCTCTATCAGGTGGATTCTCTTTGAGTTCAGGTGGATTATCAAGCTGATTCCCCTCCAACTGGACTCTAGAAATATCAGAAGCTGCACCCTGAGTGTTACCCCTTACTGAGCCTCTGTCCACAAGAATAGCCATCCTGTTAGGTTGCTTGGATCCCCTTGAAACAAGTAATTTAGCCACTGGTAGTTGTAATCCGGAAGCCTTAACCTCAGCTCGAACCCCTTGACTTGATTCCCCACCTCCATTGGTACTTTTCTTTTTCCTTCCACCTTGGCTTAATTTCTGCTGATTGGGATTCACCACAGACTTCCCCTTACTAGGAGTAGATTCAGATATTCCAGGATCCTGGCCAGGGCCTTCATCACCTGCATCTCCCTCTAAGGGTCCAAATCTAGACCCCGAGGCTGAGGATTTAGTACCCTGGTCCTTCCCACCTACACTTGGTTTCTCTTTGCTAACTGAGACATCCGAGGATTTTAATTGCTGAGCTGGCCTTTTGTTATTCCTTTTCTGGACTGTCATCCACTTCCCAAAGCCATTAACCTCCTGGCTTCTTTCAACTTCATCTTTCCCAGAATCCTCAGAGTGGCAAGGACCAGCATCCAGATTATTCAAATCTTCCTCAACACTCTCCTCATTCTTCTTATAATTAACCGGATTGAACACACAATGCTCCTTCTTATGCCCGTACTGCCCACACAAAAAACAGATCATGTGGAGGCCCTCATAGCCTATATACAGCTGCCTTTGCCCAATTCTGAACTTGGAAAGAAGGCTCTTACTCAAGTCAACTTCTACACAAATGCGTGCAAATCTTCCCCTATCAGTGATCTCTTCTAACTGCCCTTGCCCACTAATTCGCAATGAATTCTCATCAATCCTGAGCGTCTTACCCACCATGTTCCCCATTCTCCACAAATCCTTATACGTATAGAATTCCCTAGGCACCCCTGGGATTCTAATTCAGACAGCCAGCTTCTTAACTTGTTCATCAAACGGATCAAAGTTAGGTCTCCACCTTTGCACTATGAGATAATGATCCGCAATGATCCAAGGCCCTTGTTGCTGCACAAAGAGATAATCCTGGCTCTTCTCGAATTCGATCAGGTAGTGATCATTTTCCAGATCTAGTACCGTGTATTTCCCCTCCAGGTTCCAAAGCCTGTGCAACCTATTCCACAAAAACCTGGCTCCTAACTTCTTCCCCATGAGCTTTACTATCAGTGCCATCCTCCAGCGTTTGCACTGCTCCACTTTCTCCAGCACGTCAAATTGGTAGAAGGGATTCAGCGGGTCATCCTCTCCAATCTGCTCATAAGCTTTCAGAGCTTCCTCCTCCTCGATGTCTTCCCGTTTGCAGTGTGCGAACCAGTCATCGTCGTCCTCCTGTCCACCATCCCATACACCGTTGATTCGCAGGAGTTGGTCTTTGTAAGAGACCAGTCTACGAGGGTCCCTTCGTACCCCATCTCCCTTCGTGGGATCATTTCCTGCAGCATCCATCTCTACCGCCTCCTCCCTAACCGTCTCAACCTCCATTGCGCCCACAATCAGAGGTTCTTCAAGCATCTCCTGATCCGTCATCGTCTCTCCTTTCGCCTTCTTGGCCTCTCTTGTAGCAATAATTCCTTCGTCTATGGTGGGGGGTCTTCCCCCTTTAGCCACCATTGATATCGAGTGAAACCCTAGCAGAACTCAAAATTTGCTTCTCACGCGCCTCACGCGCCTCGCACTTTGGTTCCTTTTATAAAATTGTCTATAATAAAAAAAAAATTCCTACCCTTTTATTATTGCATGTATATAAAGAAACAGATTAACATTTCTCATGTTATAGGAGATTAAATTACTTTTTACACAGTACATAAAAAAAATATAAAACCCGTGTAAAGCCGTTTGAGGAAAGGAGAAAAAAAGAAAACATAAAACCCAAATATTTCCTCTGCTCCTGAGATTCTTCGCCTCTAATATAGTTAACGATGTATAAATTATTGGTCATTGTATATTCAATCAGTTATTAAAATTTGTAGATGATGCATAAATTACTGGCTAGCGTATGTGAATACTTTGATGTATGGTCCTGCTGCAGCACAGACTCAAATTGGCACCCTAGTAACAGATTCAAGCTAACTTCGAGCAGATTTGATTAATTATCCTTAAGAACTATAAGGCAAAATGCTAAGTGAAATAATGGATTGGTGAACCATAGATTATATTCTGGACCATACATAAGAGCCAGAGTAATAATGTACTTGTATTGGCAACTTATTGTATCAATGTCGTCATAAATTGTACCCCGACATCACATGAATCCTTATACTATATCTAAGGCGAACATTTACATCTCATCAGTTCTATTTACAAACTCTGAAAACTGGATATTATTCTATGAAGAAATTTTCTGTATGCATGTAATATTTCACATAATTATCCTACAGTAAAGTACTGGATCTTCCTTCACTGTCAAATTGATTCAAATGCATATAGCCAATCCTGCTTATAATCCATCTCTCATGTGGATTCTACAGTGCAACGGGATCCTTTGCCTATTATTACCTTATTATGTCTGCAGGCACAAAGCAGATAGTGACAAAATAAGATGATTGTTCTCCATAAAATCAATCTCAAACGAAGCAAGTTAGTTGAAAGGCGAATAATTGAATACCTTACACCGTGCCTTGTTGTCGTAAAGGCTGAGCTTCAGAGTGAACTTCATTGTTATGCTGGTCGAGTGGCATGTATTGTGACATGATAGCCATGACCTCTGAGTCCATGTAAGACTACAAAAAGGAGATAAAGGTAATTTTAAATATGGAAGCTAATTTGGATCTCCAAATTTAACATGAATGATTTATACATTATCTGTAGTTGAGAATGAATTAGGCTTACCCGGAGCCTATATTTGTAGAATATGTAACCAGCTAGAGCAGCCCCCACAACCACTGCTATGACCACAAAGGCAAGGACCCGTCCAAATCTTGAGCCACTTCTTTCTGCGTGATAAAAACCAAAATTCTAATTATGTACTATGATTTGAATTCTAAATTTTCTATTAGACAGTAAAAAAATCACTCCCTATTAAACTCTCACTAACAAGAGTAGAAAAAGGACAACGTCCAAATCTTGAGCCACTTCTTTCTGCGTGATAAAAACCAAAATTCTAATTATGTACTATGATTTGAATTCTAAATTTTCTATTAGACAGTAAAAAAATCACTCCCTATTAAACTCTCACTAACAAGAGTAGAAAAAGGACAATCCTTGTACGCAGCCGGTAAACAGCATACAATAGAAGCAAGCAGCCATCAAATACGATAATTTTCAAGTACAATGATACAAATTGGTTTCACTGGCCATTTGAAAGACAACGGTCATAAATGAAAACAGGTGATTAAGCTGTAGGGAAGTTTAGAGGGTGTTCGATTTGTTTTCTGTTTTCATTTTCAGCTGTGTTTTCGCTAATAGTTATAAAAATACCACCTTGTTTTTATTTTGTTTAATATTTTCAAGATTTTGTAAGGAAAAACTGAAAATAAGATGCTTTTGTTTACAATTTCCTTCACAAAATCATGTAAAGAACAAACTAAATGAAAGGTGGTATTATTGTAACTAGTAACTACCACTAAAAGCATATCAATTGAAAGTAAAAATAAAAAACAAACCAAACAGCACCCAGTTTCTTAAAAAGGAACATGTAAAGATTCAGGTTAATGATCATTTTGTTGATTTAAGTTGAATATTTACTGCATTGGGTGCTATTTAGGATTGCAATATCAAAACATTCTAAGGATTTATACTAAATGCGTAGTTGACTACTTGTTACTTTATCACTTTAAATTCCATGGGATGCTATACAGCTATTTCTCACAGAAGAATCTTCTACAGTTAGACTTTAGTATCTTACCAATACAAACATCTTGCTCCTTTATATATACAAGATTTCCCTTGCACTTACAATCATAACCACCCCAAGTGTCCTTGCAGCTGCAGCCATCACACTGACAAACACTTCGCTCCTTACATTCATCAATATCTGAATCAGATCAAGAGTTTTACAATAGTTATATTTTGCAAAATTTATCATATAAAGAAGACAACAGCTTTTTTTGAATTGCTGCGATGAAAACAAATATTACCTTCACATTTATTACCGTCCCCACGGAAACCAACTGGGCACTGACAGCCATTTACCTTGGACTCCTATATACAAAAAGGGAATTCAGTTAGCCTTGAGGCAAATCCAGGAAAGTGGTAAAAGAAATATTTTACAACAAGCAGAAGAAGGAAAAAATGAAGATTAGGTTCAGCATTACTGAACTGAGCAAGCCGAGAAAGTTAATCCATTTCTAGTTTCTGACCAACAACCTCCATTGTTTATAGCACACCTTGCAGGTCCAAAAGCTGTCAAATAAGGAAAAGAGTAAGCATCTCCCCAACATCATGAAAAAGAGCATATGACTTGGTACAGAAGTAAAACAAGTGTCCTCTTATTGTGGACCATGCAAAGACATTAGTTTTTTCAGTCTAAATATACATTAACCACATTTAGATATTCGAATGATTTATTATTTGATTCCACAGCAGCCACAGGTAATACTGTCAAACAACGCTTTCCAAGGAGAAACAGGTGACAAGCTTAAATAACTGAATACTAGAGCTACTGAATGCGGCTGATATATCCTTGAAAAGGTTTCCGTATAAATATCCCATGACAGCCCAATAATGAATTCCCATTATTCACAAGAAATTTAGTAGTATCCTTAGAATGAATAGATCTTTCAATTAAAACTTATTACTGAATCTTTTTCTTATAAAGGCAGTGATGTAAAGTGAAAATTAACCACAAAATCATCAACAAATAAATAACAATTATTAAAAAATGTACAAGGTAATTCATATTTTCCTTACATTTTTCCAAAGTAAAAGATCTAGCCCACAAATAAGAATGTTTAGGGGTAGACACCCTATTGATCTTCATCCACTTCGTAGTTCAAGTATCAGTAAACATGCAGTTGTATTTGGATTTAGATTACAATATGGAATGAATTTTCTTAGACGTTTGACATGAAAGTTGCGTATAGGATGAATTCCAAATCAAGGAGGAAATTTCTTAATCTCTGGCTTCCTTAGCTATCATGTTTTATGAGAAGAGAGTATAGAATATACTGATGTTCTAAAATAACAGGTAGATGAAACCTTTTAAACTTGAAAACGCATACCTTCACATGATGTATAACCATCACCCTTATACTGAACACCTTTCACAACAGGGCACTCACAAACTCTTCCCCTGAAAGTATCCTGACAAAGAATAAAGGTTTAACTTGCAGCCAATCATACACAGACACATAAACCATGATATGTCTAGTGATTCTAATTGGCAAAAAAATGATAATATAATTTCCTTATTTATACCTTGCAAGCAGTTACGTTAGCATTCTTGTCTTGCCAACATCCTCCATTTCTTTCAAGACACTCATTAGTCTCAACATCTGATAAAATCAAACCAGTATGTAAAAATCAGAATATTGCACTCATGGTAGAATTTTAGAAATAGAAGAATCAATCATCAGTGTAGTTTCGTATACGGGTGTACTAAGCACACCAACCTCCACTTAAACAAACTGGAGGTTCAGTAGTCTCCTTAAATCCAGCGCATATAGCCTTCAGGACAGCAATTCTCTCCAATTTTCCTTTATAAAAAACAAATAAAACCTTTAGAATTCTGATTTGCCAGATATGTTCCTGAAAAGGATATTTGTAGTTGAAGAAGTAAAATATCTGTCCACTTCATTACACAAATGACAATGATTTCGACATTCAGTTAGCCAATCAACTGAAACAAAAAGGATAAAGTGCAAGTAATATACAGACAAGAGATGAAGGAAAGGAAGATGACCACAGAAGAGCAAAAGTAAATTAGAGAGAACCAAAGAAATTCTAAACTTCACTCATCTGCCTCAAGTGAAAAAGAGAACCCAGATGTTCAATATTACAAAGGGTTACACAAAACCCTATAATCACAAACTTCCATGAGCCTGTAACTATTTTCAGAAAATGAGACTAGTCCTTTTATATTAACAGAAAAGTGAGTTCCATTTAAATGTGGGGAAGGTGATCATGATGGCTTAATAGTGCTCAAGGTAGAAGACAGAAGCATCACATAGTTGAAAGTAAGTTCATGGGTCAGTTGCCATGCCAGTGAAACATGGAGAACAAAAAGACATAATAGCTATAGATTTAGAACACAATTTTGTTTGTGCCCTTAAACTCTCAGCTGAGAAAACATGATAATTAGATTTTGGATAACCAAACTTCAACAATTGGGCTTCAACAAGTTTGATGTGTTCAATACACTAGTGAGAATTCAACCAGAATATCTATTAAATATGTATTTAAGTAACTAACCTCTATATTGGACATTGTTTATAACCAATGTTGGCAAGATGGTGACATCACCACGAGATCCTCTCCCAATCTAAATATCACAAATGAAACAAAACTATGTAAATTATTTGTCTCAAAAGTAAAACTCAGTTCTGTAATCACCTGGATCCGGTGCTTCATTTCATATGGTAGCCTTTGTTGTTTGATGACAGTTTACAAAGTTTTTAATTTTATAAGGACATGGCATTAAATATTAAACATCTGACCTGAACTTGTTGCTCATTCTTTAGCACTTCATTCTCCACATCCGCTTCAGGGTCACCCATGCATTTCTTAATTTTCTCAATAGGCAGATCTGGAGTATGAAGATTAAACTTTAAAAAAGAAGAGAAAATAGCACAATCCCATGCACAGCAGTATCAAAAAGTAGCATATACCTAATGATTTCATGACATCATCAGCACACTCTTTGCTGTATCTTTTCTCCTTCATAGAACATCTGACATGAAAATCTGTTACATAATCCCACCAGACCCACGAACGGTTGCTCTCATTGGCAACTCTATGAACACAGAGCTGCCTCAAATTTTCATACACTACATCCTTCCCATCATAGCCCTCTCCAAAATCCTTCTCTGGATCCGGGGCACAATATCTCCCATGGTTTATACATTGAGACTTGCATTGACTGCTAGTAATGAAGGGCTGCGGACAAAACCAAGTTATATAGTGTGGAGTGAATAAGGTATAACCACCCCTCTCAAGAATCTGAGCATGACCCTTAAAATTCTTAACAAAATTCATCTGTTCTTCGCAACGAGCTCCACATTCATCATTGCTGTTGGTCCAGAACTCATACTCAACTCTATTATCAGGGTGAGGTACTGACTCTCTCCAATCCATTCTTAGCAAAACTTCATCTTTGTTATTTAAAGCTTCCTTCAACACATCACCAAAGGATTTCTCTATTAGAGCTGATGGAATTACAATCTTCTCTATGTATCCATCTGCATCATTGCTCTCCTCAGGAGAATCCATGGTTATCAGAGACTCGTCAACGCTGTCCGTCACTAAAACTGCTGCAGCTCCAGCTAGTTGTGCATGCCATACCTTCAAGGCAAAATAACACTCTACAAGCGCAAATAACTTTACCAGTAAGCATTAGACAACCAGGATTCAAAGAATTAAAATGGGAATGGGTGCTTGAAGCTATTATCAAAGATTTTTTTTTGGTCATGTGAGGAACTTTTTTCACTGAGACTAGTCCTTCTGTTGGTTTTCAAGAGACAGCTTGAATATTTTAGCATCACAAGACAAGAAAAGCCACTATGATGTAATTTGGAAGTGTGAAGGGTAACTTGAATAGGATTAATCAGAGAATCGTATAAAAAAACCATTTCCCGTTAAACACGACCAGCGAATGTGGGGTGAAGAAAATCCTTGTACGCAGCCTTACCGTTGAATAATTACAAAGAGTATCGTATAAACTAAAAAAAATATTAAAAGGAAAGGGCAAGACTTTTAATTGTGGGATACATGTTATTTTCCACAGTAAATTTTTTTCACCCCATATTTTGTGGATTGCTATAGTAGCCTTTATTTCACTTACAAAAGAAAAGAAATCCAAGAAAAATGGGAAAAAGTAACTGTTGAAAAGGATAAATCAATGTATGAACATATGCTATCATTGAATCAACAAATCAACAACCGTTTATATTATGCACAGATATAACATAACTAATCTCAGACTATGCAACAACAGGAAAAAAAACAAAAAAAAAAAAACAGAGAATCATAGGTTGACATATATAACAGTCACAAACTCATATTAAGAAAAGGTAACTGTTAAATGAAATCTGGAGCAAGATGAATCAATCCAGATAATAATAATAAACAAAGAAAGTCAACGATGAACAAGGTTGACTCGAATGAAGAAAAGAAAAAGAAAAAAGAATACCTCCACGATCAAGGAGAAGGATAGTGGGGCGATAAGAGCGAAACTTGAAGCTCTTATCCCCATCAAAGAGTTGACATCCATGAGAGTTTTTATCAGGGTAAACCACAGAGCCAACGATGAATCCTCCATAGTCTGGAAGGCCAAAGTTTCCGATGGCAGCATCACGTTTGGACCTTAGCTTGTGAGGATACAGAACCCTGATGTTGTTTTTCTCAACCACGAAGCGGCCATGAACAACAAGAGAGCTGAGAAGGAAAAACAAGACAAAGAGAAAAAGTAGAGAGTTGTTGAGAAAAGCCATGCAGAGGTTAATAGTTGAGTTGGGAGTGAGAAACAGAGGAAGAGGAAGAAGGAAGAGTAATAAAGAGGAGGTGTGTGCACAAAGACTTTGCAACTGTCTCGGTCTAACAGGTGGAAAGTTTTGCTGAGAGAGAGAGAGAGAGAGAAGGGTTGGTTAGTGTCTCACAATCAAGCTGTGACGTAAAGAGATGGTAAACGACAGGTGAAAGGAAGAGGAAGGTGGTGGACGGAGTCAGGGGATCTACTTCACAAACTGTGACAGGTTATTTCACTCCTCGCCACATATACATACACACGCACAGAGAGAGAGAGAGTGAGAGAGAGAGTTTTTTTTATTTTTATCTCATTTTATAATTTTTTTAATGGAGTGAAATTTATTTATTATTTTAATAATTAATATTATCATCAAAAAGGTAAAAAATAGAAATGGATCCTCTCATGTGTATTTCAACATGATCATGTCCGGTGGGAGGATTTTTTTTTTTTGGTAAATCATGTAGGAGGATCTTAACCATTAATAATTAAATTCTCGGTGATGATTATATAACTTCTCATCCTTATATTTTTCTCTCCTCTCGCTTATCACCATTAATTCACCTATGTATGATTATGATTAACCACATGACATGATTATGTTAATTAGCACATGAGATGATTCACTCCCGTAAAAAATAGTTACCCAAATCATATCTGAAGTCTGTGTTGTCAGAGTTGATATGAGGTGTGTTTTCCTTTAATGGTTGTTGTTAACAAACAATATTTAAAATATGTGTTCGTTTTTTCTGCAGTTACTGCAAATAAGTTATTTGCAGTAAGTCAATACGACGTTGTTTTGGGACAGAAATCATGGTGTTTTTGAAATTTTAATTTATTTTAGGGTTATAATAGTCTTTATATTTATACTTTTTTAATATTTTAATACCAAAACGACGTCATTTTGGGAATAAATGCAGATAACTTCTCTGCATTAACTGCAGAAATATTTTTCCCTTAATATATATATATATATATATATATATATAACTTTAATATTATAATTATGTATTATTTTTAATATATAATTATAAATTATTAAAAGAACATAAATTATATATTTTAAAAAGATAAATTATTTTTTTATTTTTTTATATACAAAAATTAGATTAGAACTAGAAGTAGAATTATATGTTTCCATAATTATTTTTTCAAATTTTACTTTTGGTATTAATACATGAAAGAGAAATATTGAAATAATAGAAACGTTTTGAGTAGTATTATGTCATAGAAACACTAAAAGTGGGGCCACCAATTTTTTCGAGAAAAAAAAAAATCACAGTTCACTTTTCTTGATTATGACCAGACCATAACCCTTTTATTAAACAATAATTCTCAAATTATTTTTTGGAAAATCGCCACTTAAAATAGTTTAATAGTTTCGAATGGGATTAATTGAGTAATCGATAAGCTAAAGAATATATAAAAATACTATTTTTATCTCTAATTCAAAATTGCATGAATAATTACATGTATAGTGAAAGGATTCTCAAAGTTATTTAATTATTTCGAAATTATTGTACAAGTGTGAAGTAATTTATTCGAGAGTATGTGATGAGTTTGCAAATGTAAGTTTATGCTTTTTAATTGTTTAAAATAAAAAGTATTCAATGCAAAAAGTATATGTATTTAATATTTTTATCCTATATAAGTTAAAAAGTATTTGATATATTTTTGAGTAATTAAGATAAATTAATAGAAGCATTGAGGAAGAGGATATAGATCTATCTTTGCGAAAGTATTACTTTTCTTATTAGATTGCCTAATGTTTTTCCTTTTTTGTGCTTTTATATGTAACATTTTCTTATTTGTTTTAGTAAGTACAACCGCTTTTATAGGTGTTAAAAGAAAAGTAGCAGAAGTTACTATGGATAAATTTTATTAGTCAATATATCTTCTTTGGTCTAAGGCAAAAGTCTAGAAAATTAAATGGTAATTTTCTGATTTGACTTAGTCTACCTTGACGATGAAGCATCATAGATATTTCTAACAAGTCCAATGAAGACGCTAAAGAAAATGAGGCATATCGGTTTATTGGCCATGATTTTTTGAGAAAAGGAAATATACATTTTAACTGAAAAATATGACGAAAAAGAAGCATAATTTCTTTTTTTTTTTTTTTTTTTTTGGTTGGCCACTTCTATTTGAGATTTTATTTATTATTTATTTGTAACTGTGGTTCCTTATTTTGCTAACTTGAAAAATCATACGCTTTTCTATATTTTATTAAAATTCAATCCCTTAAAAAAAAATCATGAAACATCCACACAAATACACAGAAGATTAATTGAAACTTTTTCTTGGACTGAAGAAAGTTTCCTAGAAAATGATAAATTTCTAATTTTGTCCGTTGTGAAATTGAAAAGGATACCATGACCTCAATAGCATTTGCTTAAGGCTAAGTCAATGAAGAAAACAGAGGATGCTTTCTTAGGTTTATGAGGGTTCATCTCAAAGTCTTCTAACAAATGCTGAATAGCGCACCTTTCAAGGCAAGTTGAGTGTTTCAAGGGCTCTGCTTATTTTGCATCACCCATGACTTACGAATTACGATATTGAAAATTATTTATTAATTAATTAAAACCATACGCATGAGGCATGACACTATAATATAAAGTACACACAAATTGAAAAATCAAAATAAGGTTCCCTCTGCTGTATTGGATTAGAATAAAATTACACAAGTCAATTGCATGGTGGTTTTCTTTTCTTTTCTTTTTTTCTTTCAAAGTTGTAGTATTAATTATACAATGTGCATGTAGCCATGAAGAATATTCACGACTAGAGTCGGATAAAGTCCGTCAAGAATATCTCTCTGAATTAAGTTAAATTTGCATAAACTCTTCATCCTATTAAGTTTGAGAAAAATAAAGATGACGTTTTTTAGTATAATTTTTAATATTAAATAAATTTAATGTCAATCTCATTAAATAATATAAAATTTACCTAATAATAGAATATGTTGTTAATATTTACTTTTCAATTTTGTTCACGAATTCTGCTCCGTGATAACAATGGCCCGTTCATCAAACTTTTGTGGATGGTTAAAACTTTAAACCAAGTCTGATATCACATGGCATAGAAATTGGGCCATCATTTCAACCAATGAACTTTTGGGCCAGACTTGAGCCGAAAAGATTTAGTGACAAAGTTTAAATTAGAAAATAGAACACAATAAGGCCCAGGATTTTGTATTTGGTCAAATGTTTAAGGCTGTCTCAGGGTTTCAATACTCCAATTCGTAGAAGGGTGATAGAACATGGAATATTGAAATATTGAAAGCCCTTTTACTAAGTTGTCATAACGAAAGCCCTTTTACTAATTGGCCAATATTAGAAGCGAGCTTTAATTTTATGCTCCTATCATATTTTTAGTGGAAGGATCACAATGGACTAAAATCACGTTAAATTTTTCCTATTAGAAGCTACATTCCAGCGTAACTACACCAATCGTAGCCCTTTTTTTTTTAGTAAACTTAAAGGTATCCCCACTCCCTTCGGGAGGGAGACTAATCCATTTTCGAGCATCGATCGGACCCTTTCGGGGGTGGCTCTACCCAATCCGTTTTTTTCATACACAGGGCTCGAACTCAAGATCACTGGTTAAGGGAACACAAACTCCTTCCATCTGTGCCAACGAGTTTGGGTCAATCGTAGCCCTTTGTTCCTCATAAAAGCATTGCTTCCTCAAAAAAAGAGGCGCAGATGGCAATCAAGAGAAACCTAATGAAATAGCATCAAGAAGCGTTTGTCCTTGAGAGCACGCCTACCAAACTAAGTATGAAATGTTGTGCGTATGAACAGGGTTGCTCGTTGAGGGTTAAGGTAATAAAACCAATGTACGGTGAAAAATGGAAGGTTACTAAATGGGGTAGAGACCATAATTGCTTGAATGATCATATTTCTCAGGGTCATAGACAGCTTGATGCTGATGTGATTGCTTCACTCGTACTAGGTAAGTTATTTGATTATTTTGTCATTCTTTTGTGTTTTATAGTTAGGTGAATAAGGTTTAATGTCTACCTACAATATGATTGTTAGGAATGATAAAAGAGGAGCCATCAGTCTCAATTGCACTTGTTCTGGAGAGGATCACCCATGCGTATGGTTTCAAAGTTTCATATAGAAAGGCATGGTATGCAAAGCAGAAAGTAATTGCGATCATGTATGGTGATTGGGAGGAGTCTTATGCATTTTTTCCTAGGTGGTGTGAATATATGCTTCGCTTTTCTCCAGGTTACGTTTATAATATTCAAATAGATGATTATTTTGTTGCTCATCGACTGGTACGTGAAAAACGTGTGTTTCATCGCATTTTTTGGACTTATAGACAATGTTGTGAAGCTTTCAATTTTGCAAACCAGTAATTCAAATCGATGGCACTCATTTATATGGTAAGTATAAAGGGCAATTATTGATTGCCACAGCTCAAGATAGAAATAATGAATGTTTTCCACTAGCATTTGCAATTGTTGAGGGCGAGACTTTGGAAGCATGGGAATAATTCCTTGATAACATTCGTCGTCATATCACGCATATGCAAAACATATTCGCATTTCATATCGGCATCGAAGCATATTATCTGTTGTGGAGAATCATCGTGGTTGGCAGCCACCACATGCCCATCATGTGTTTTGCCTTCGCCATATTGCTAGCAATTTTAATCAAAAGTTCAGGAACGAAAAATTGAAGAAGATGGTTATGAATTTGGGTATGAGTTACATCTTTTTTACGTCTTATTTGATAGTATTACTGAATGTAAATATTATTAATTGTCATTATCTTTACAGGTTATACTCCTTCTAAGGTTGATTTTGATATAGCCTTTGCAAAATTTCGTGACACTGGTGCTGAGATTGCAGATTGGATTGATCAGATTCCAAAGGAAAAGTGGACGCATGCATATGATGTCGATGGACTTAGATATGGCCATATGACAACAAACTTGTCTGAATCAGTTAACAGGGTTTTGAAGGGTGCAAGAAACATGCCAATAACTGGTTTGGTTAAGCATGCATACAGCAATCTAGTTCATTATTTTGTTACCAAGGGTCAAGCAGCTGCCGCACAACTTCATGCTTCACATCGTCATTGCAAAAATATGGTCGGATCGATGAAGTATAATGAGTCCCTTGCTACAGGTCACAATGTTCGTACATATAATGTTGATCAAACAGTTTTGAAGTTGACGAGGCTTATGAGAGGTCGTATTCTGTCAACCTTCCAGAAAGATTTTGTCAATGTGGAAAGTCTAAGGCTTTCAAGTACCCATGTAGTCATGCCGCAACGGCTGCACTAAGTGTTCTGCAGAATCCTTTTCAATATGTGGATGATGTGTTCTTGATAGATAATTTGGTCCATGCATACTCGTTTCTTTGGCAGCCAATTGGTGATAAGGCTGTTATTCCACCTTGGGTAGGTCCAGTGGTCATACGGAACAAATCTATGTTGCGTGCAAAAGGCCGTCCAAAGTCCACCAGAATACGAAACGAGATGGATGAAGTTGAAACCAAACAGAGTCGAATTAAGTGTGGCATTTGCAAGCTACCTGGGCGTAATCGTCGCTCTTGTACTAATCGTTTACCTAATCAGTGATGTTGTAAACGTTTGTATTCAAAATGTTTGGTTTTATGCAGCATTATTATTTTGTGTTATCTATGCCATGTGTATGAATGGTCTGAGCTTAACTTGCCAGTTATCAGGCCATTTACCTCGAAGCGTGTGATCATGAATCCTTTGAGCTTTCTAGGCCTCAATGGTATTGGCTGATCCAAATCAAACTGTCTCAAGCATTTATCTGGTTGGCAGTTCTCAACCGTATGAAAACATATGATCGGTGTCCTAGCCAACCAAAGAAATCACTCGTGTGTAGGTATATCCAAGCAATGATAGTCATCGTACGGCTGCCAAACAACCTACAAAAAATATAATGGATTTCCATAACTTATGTATCTGGCAACAATACAAAATAATAATAATAATTTATCCATAAAAAATATAACATACCTCGTCCCTGCATATCGTGTCTAGAGTCCCACGATATAGAAGTTGATGTTGTGGTTTAAAGCGGGCTAAACCATTAAACCTGTTATCCAAATGAAACATATGCAAGTATTAATAATTTGTTATAGAAAAAGATAACGAATAAAGATATACAAATGACACATACCGGTGCCCGTAGTGCCATTCTGGGTGAGTAGGCTGAGGAAGAGGAGGAGCAATAGGTGGAAACCTGATCCACGCCCAAATCTGTAGTAATATATGACACCCACATATGTCTGATCTGCGCGGGTCAGTAAGCTCCCACAATTGTCTAAGAAAAATGTATGAGAACAGCAGATCCCCAACTGTATTATCTAATCTCTCCAAAATCTCCTGCAAGCAATGCAATATAGCGACATCCAACGATGCTACCTCCAGATTTATCGGAAAGAAGCCATGACCCTAACAGATGTACAATGTGCGCCTTAGTAAAAAATATAACCTGTTGTGGATCCGCAGCAACTGAACCCCAATGCGCATAGAGTCTGTCTAGGTATGTGAGCTTAACATCCCCATAAAGGAGCTCTGCATCGACGGGGCCTGACCAAACACCTCCTGGCACACGACCCGCCAGTCCGTAGATGTAACCCTCGTAACCACTCTCCCATTAGTCGTCAAATCCAATATAGCAGTAACATCCTGCAACTTGATGGTCATCTCGCCCCGGGTCATGTGGAAGGTATGTGTCTGTGGTCTCCACCTCTCCACTAGAGCACTGATCAGCATGGGATCAATCTGAAATAAATGCAGACAAACTATCAAAATAAATGATATTATAAAGTACACTAAGTTTTCACATTTATTATTAAATTAAAAGGCTCATCACTGGTACTTTCTTATATGCGTACCTAAATACGTCGCATGTGTGCGACATGTAGGAAGCCATCTTGTGACGGGTAGTCTGCCACAATGTCGGGAATAACATCAGGAGATGGCACCCCTGCATCTTACCACGTCTAGTCTTGCACTGGCGACACTTCTCCTCATTCCACACATCTTGTGAAAGAAGCGTGCGCTGCGTGCGGCTCAGAAGTACATCCCACCTGTATGGTCCTAGAAGCACGTGTGTCCTAGGATCCGAAGGCTCGGGCTGAGCCTAAGTATCAGATGTAGACCGAGGTGACTCGGACGATGACGAGTCAGCCATAATAGTGTACTATACACAATTACAAATTAATTGGTTTCATTAATATATTCAAAAGTCACTACGTTAATTACATGTGTTACAAAATATATTAAATTACATGAGTTACAACATATATTATATTACATGTGTTACAAAATATATTAAATTACATGTGTACAATATTCCTAGGTCACTAATATATTCTTAAGTCAGTAATATATTCCTAGGGTTTAAGACACTACTTTAACATATTCCTAGATCACTACAGTAACAGTTATATGCGCAAGTCCCTAAATTACTATTATAACATGTATAATACTATATTTAAAAAATTTATAAACCGGATATGAAGACTTACTTGTTCGACAGGGCTTCGTCGCGCGAAATTCTTCACAAATAATCTAGAGAGAATACAGAGCAACTTTAGAGAGAAGGTGTGAGAAGGAAAAGTGAAAATTTAGGGTTTTATATAGGCCAGAGAATTCACACCTGGCCTGGGCGTGAATCATTCACGCCTCATTTGGGCGTGAATTGTCCAGCTCTTTTTAAACGTGAATGATTGCTACAGATTCGAAAATAGTTTTGAAACAGTCATCTATCTGTAATTATTTATTAAAATAGTAATATTTTAATTTTTTTGCCGAAGTGTTTGTTCCCATGACCAAAATGTCACCTCATATTGACTCTTGAGGCATTTTTTACTTATATATTTCTCATGCACTAACATAATTATCACAACATTATTATAACATATAAGCTTACATTTTAAGTTTAAAACTTTTTTTTATTAATTGATTTGATATTAGAGTAAATACCATTTTTGGTCCTCAACAAATTTCACGATGCCCGTTTTAGTCCCTAGCAAATAAAAAGGCCCATCGTGGTCCTTAAAAAATTCAAAATTGACCTATTTCAGTCCTTTTAGGGATTAATATGGGTCTTTTTTGAATTTGTGAGGGACCACGATTTCAACTAAATGGGTCCATTTTGAATTTTGAAAGACCACGATGTGCCTTTTTATTTGCTAGGGACTAAAACGGACATCATGAAATTTGCTGAGGACCAAAAAGGATATTTACTCTTGATATTATTTGCATCTAACAATTTTTTTCAATAAATTAAAGAGTAAATACCTTTTTTAGTCCCTAACAAAAAATACGGTCTCCACTTTAGTCCCTTACAAAAATAAATTAGTCAGTTAGTCCCTAACAAATTCAAAGTAGACCCATTTAATTGAAATCGTGGTCCCTCACAAATTCAAAAAAGATCCATATTAGTCCCTCAAAATGACTAAAATGGATCCACCTTGAATTTGTTAGGGACTAACTGACTAATTTATTTTTGTAAGGGACTAAAGTGGGGACCGTGTTTTTTTGTTAAGGATCAAAAAAAAATCTTTACTCTAAATTAAAACTATCAAATACAAGTAAAATTGACTGTTAATAGAGAATCTAAGAGCTTTTAGACTTGGTATTGATGTAAAAATTGCCGCTTGTGATAAATACATAATACAGTTGGGCACCAACGAATAATTTGTAGCAACAATATCTCACAAGAACAGGAAATTCCTCATAGAGTATATATCTCAATAATTGTAACACATATTAATCAACATGATTCACAAGTAATTGAAAGCCAAACGATTCCGAGAAAGCTGAAATCATGAAATTCTACAAGAACAATTTTAGTATGCTTATTATAGCACAAATATGATGTATTTGTGCATGTCCTACTACTTCATAGTGAAAACCCACACGATTATTTTACCATCACACAACTCTACTAACTCTACAAGACAATTAATTATTCATAACATCATTGACAATGGGTCGGGCTTTACACAAGGCCTTAAATGGAATTAGCAGTGGCATGGTGATCCCTTTGTCCTCCCTCATATCAAGTTTTTCCTCACTTTCTCGTTCCCAGTCAAAGCATTGAATTAACAAGCCCAAGGTTAAGCCCACCGTACGTTGAGCCAAACCTAGCCCAGGGCAAGCCCTTCTTCCTAGCCCGAATGCAATTAACTTGTTTACTTCACCTTCTTTTTCAAATCTCTCGGGCTTAAAACTATCGGCATCACTCCAAAGTTTAGGGTCTCTATGAATGAGCCATGCATTAGTCAAAATTATAGTGTCACGTGGAATATTGAATCCTCCAATGGTACAATTCTCTGAAGAATAATGGGGTAGTAGTAATGGAGCTGGAGGATGCAATCGAAGTGTCTCAGAGATTACGTTTTGAAGGTATGGGAGATTTGGCAAATCATGTTCATCTACCAATCGCTCTCTTCCAATTTGAGTGTTGATTTCATCTTTTGCCTTCTTCAATACTTCGGGGTGGTTCAATAATTCAGACATTACCCACTCTATAGTTACAGCTGATGTGTCTGTTCCAGCAAGAAGCATAGCCTGCAACTCAGTTAAAATCAAATAACAGTTAATTTAATGAGACCCACCAAGTTTAATGAATTCTTATATATGAATTCTTATATATGAATAATATATATATATATATATAATAATAATAATAATAATAATAATTTGGGTAGTTGGAATTGGGTTTTATTGAACTGATCAAATAAGAGAAAAAGATAAAACAAAATTCAAAACCCAATTCCTTGGAGTTGGATTTGATAATATTAACTTGCTTGTAGCCCGTGAATTTTTTGCTTAGCTTTTAAATTCTAAAATTTTAATATTGAATAAATTTCACATAAATTATGATCTGAAACTTCTTAAAAGCACTACTAAACGTTTTATCATATTCTTTTTTAATATTAATTTAAAATATATTTTGTATGAAGTAATTAAATTTCTTAATTATTTATTTTATAAATTATATATATTAATTTTAAATATTTTATAAATTCTATTTCAATTATATATATATATATTCATAATTACAAATATTTTTATCTTGTATTTTATAGTTTTACTTGGATCAATGATGTATATTTTTTTAAAATTTTATATATTTTTAAAAATAATAATTTTTTTTTTTATATTTTTGCGAAGTTTTAAAATACTTCTACAATATACATACTACATTAATTTTATGAGTTAAATCAAAGAGAAAATCTAACATATTTTTAAAGGAAAGTTTTTTTTTTCTCTTTTTAAAAAAATTTACTAATCATGGAAGTCCTTAATTTAATGCGACGCATATGGTGCACCTAACCCATACATTATTTAAAAGAAACACTTAACACAAACTGTGTAGAAGGACGAGTCCTTTGGTCCTTCCGAAGAGACATTAGTTATTCTCCTTAAAATATCTTAAAGTAATGAAATTTTTTAATGTTTTGTACTCTTTCTATGTTTCGTGTAAGCAACATTGACACGCGTTACACGTGTTTTAATATTATTATACGTTTAGTGGGATTTAAAATATATTTATCTTCTATTTATATATATATAAAAGTATATGTAACTTATGTTGTGTTTTTCTCTCTTCTCTTCACATGATTCTATATGAATCTCACATAATTTTATACATATGTAAGAAATAATTTTATCTCCTACAATATAATAAATATCAAACCATTAAGAAATGGCAACAATGATTTTGAGTGTGTTATTAAAACCAGACCAATCGAGCCGGTTGAACCTAGACTCAGAACCCCTGATCGGTCTAGTTCAGTTAGTTAACCAACCATGCATGAAATCCGGCCGAGAACTAATGAATCAGTCAAAAATCAAGTTGAACCATGCTAACCTAATATTGAATATTTGGTTGAATCACTTTTGAAAATTATGGCAAAATATTACCTCACAATTCTACACTTCGGATTCAAAATTGACACTTACGAAGAAAAGTAATATGTTAACCACTAAGTCAAATTAGTTTGATTGTTATATTATTTCTATTTAGAGATATATAGGCTATTCGTACTATAACTTTTTTATTAGCAATTTACTATTACTCTAATTTCAGTTGCATTAAATTTTTTAACAAATCTTTTGCAAAAAAATTTAATCCAATAAACTGGTAATAAAAAAAAATATGAATATCCTACCTCTTCTATTTATATATTTATTATATGGGTTTATTTTTTCTAAAGTTACTTTAGATAACGACATCGTTTTGGGACGGAAATCATAGTATTTTTGTAATTTTAATTTATTTCAGGGTTATAATAGTCTTTATCATTATAATTTTTTAATTTTTCAACCCCAAAACGACGTCGTTTCGATGAACATTAGACAAAGTTGTCTAAGGTAACATCGGAAACTTTTTTCCTTTATTATATATCTTAACCTAAATTTAATTTAAGCAATTCAACTAATAATTCATTAACCTCGTACATAACAATCGATTCATTCGGGTTTAATAACATTGAAATACGAATGATAAGATAAGAAGGAGTAGTGTTATTGATAATATTATTTACCTGAATAAGGCCTTTAATCATGAGATCGGAATAGTACTCAGGCTGTGACTCGTGCAGTTTCAATAGATGATAAATCATGGTGTCACTGTCAGCATCAGCATCATGCTGCTTCTTCTTATTCCGATGCTCGTCAATGAGTCCTTGCAAAAACGCATCAGCTCTTTTCCCAATTCTCTTGCATCTCTTCTCCAAATCCTCAAAATCAAACAACCACAGCAGAGGCAAGAAATCACCCTTGTTATTCGCACCCAACAAAGAAAGCATCTCCGTTATGATCTCTCTGAACTGCTTCGCTTCCTCCATATCCGTCACGTCAATGTCTTCGCCGTAATACCTTTTCCCCGATATCATTCTCATCATCGAGTTGAACGTCATCTCCGTCAGCCTGTGCCGAAGCTCCACCTTGGTAAAACCATCGAGTTTCGTGGTTTGTCCAAGCTTCTGTATCAGCCTCTTGGCCTCGTCCCTTCGGATTTCCAAGAACGAGTTGAGGCGGTGGTTTGAGAGTACGTCGATGGTTGTGATGCGGCGGAGGTTGCGCCAGTGGTCGCCGTAGGAGGAGGACCCCAAGGTTGTGTAGTTGTAGAAGATGTACTTCCCCGTGAGGAAGCGTGGACGGTTGGCGAGTACGACGTCGTTTTTGGTGAAGCATTCTTGGACTAAAGATGGTGAGGAAACCACCACGACGAGACGTGAACCGAACCAGAGGGAAATGATGTCGCCGTATTTGTGGGAGAGGGTTGAGAAGGTGCGGTGGATTGGTTGCTTGAGGTGGTGGAGGTTTCCGATGATGGGAAGAGTTGGTGGACCGGGTGGGAGGTTTTTCAGCCTTCTTGATTGGATTTGGAGAAGAATTTTAACGGTGAGGATGAAAGCAACGGTGAGGAGAGAGTAATACAGTAAGGGTTCCATTTCTCCTTAATGGGTTTAAAAGGAGTGTTGTGTTGCTGTGTGTGTTTTGGTAAAGCTGTGAACGAACTATATATAAACGCGTCTGAGGAGTAATATTGACACTTACACGGGAACACGACACACATTAATTCTAAAAATTATTATATTTGATTACCAAAAAAAAATTATATTTTGATTTTGATATTATATAATATTTTTAATATATATAATATAATTTATATTTAATACAAATATTATGTAATATTATATTTAAATTTCATAATATAAATATAAATATAAATAATTTTTCATATCTTGTTAATTTTATAACAGATTTATAATATATATTTTTTTATTTAGTAAATAAAATAAAATTAAGACTAAAAAAATTAAAAAAGTGTGTTGGAACGTTGACTGTATGTCGAAAAAAGTTGACTGCGTGTCAAAAAAATGTGTCAAAAAGTCAATCGCGTTTCTCAAAATGTTGACCGCATGTCGGCGTCCGACACGTATTTTTTACAAAAATTAGTGTGTCCGGATATCACAGCTTGCATGTGGTTTAGAAATTAAAGGTCGAACAAAGAAATGCGATGAAGCTTGTGGAGATAAGAGAGAGACAACTTGCATTAAAGAAATAATTAGAATTTCCTTAATTAAAAAAATCTATATTAACTATATTTCCAAAAAAAAAAATCTATATTAACAATTAAATAGTTGAAATAATTGAGCGGGAGATGATTACCTAATACACTTATATGGCCCATCTAGAGTTGATCGACATAGAATTTAAAAATGAAACATATAATGATTGACATATTACATTGCTATTTAACTATTTAATTTTGTATTAGAGCAAAGCTTATGGGTTGAATTTTCTGAGATGACACTTCTCGAAAAGCAGGTGTGAAAAAATTATTGGTGAGGCTAATATTCTGTCTTAACAAGATTTGATATGAGTAGGAGTTATATCGAATCACAACATTTGAGCTCATAGGGATAAATAGAAAATTTTATACCCTAACTAACGAGTATAACCTTTGGTTTTAAATCATTTCTATTGATATTTTGTTTGATTTTTTCAAAAAAAATTCTCACTTTTTTGTAATTATAATACACTATATTAGAATATTTATAATTATCGAATTTTTTGTTATTATTCTTTTCCTTTGGTTAGTTTTCTTCTATTTGGTATTTAGTGTTTTCATGTGGGATCCCCGTTTTTTTTTTTTTTTTTATGTTTTGCTTTCACCCAAAAATTATTGGGTTAGGCCGGTATGTACATGGTCAACAACGGAAGCTGCCGGCAGGTCTCATTAGGCATAGTGCAGTACGGCGCTTCAGGGCAGAGTTGCCTCTCTTTTAAAAAGAAAATTATAAATTATTGATAAGCAACAATAATATTGCATTGATATTATTGGGATGAGTTTTATTAATCTCATGTTAAAGGAGACAAGTTATTTCATGTTATAGAGATAAATTTATGAGTTCTATCATCTGAAAAATAAAAAAAAAGTGATACAGATATAAAAAATATGTAAAAGAAAAATTTATCACGTATAAAATGAGATTAATTTTTCTCTATTGAGATAAGCAACAAGTTGTCAGAGTAGCGTTTGAGCTTACGTCTTTCACAAACTTTATTTAAAAGCACAGAGAAGCGAGTATCGCCTATTGTTATATAATAGAGCTTGCTTTGTGCTCGTTGCCCAAGAATATTGGCTTTGTGTGACTTTCGATCCGGAAAGTCATAATATATAAATATAAAAATCATTATAATATTTCTTCTCGTAATTGGGTAACGTGCCAACACATTTTCTTATTTTTTTTTTTTTTGTAAATTTATTTTCTTTTATTTTGGATTACAATGGGAATGGAACATTTCACACTACAATATAATAAGGCTAACCCTAATAGTTCATATTCTTATTTTCTTACGAGTAACTCTTGCTCATAAGTTTTTTTATTCTTCTTTCCCTTTAGAAATAATTTTCGTTTAAATTTTTGTACGTGGATTAAATTTTTTTATTAAATATACTTAAATTTAAAAAAAAAATATTGAATTAAAATATTCTTTTGTTTCATTAATATATATATTTTCGTTTATCTTAATAGATATTAAAATGATCAAGATAAAGATAATTATTTACAAAAAAAAAAAAAGATAAAAATAATTATTTATTTTTAAAAAAATTATTGATGTTTTCCCAAGAAAAACTTGGGATCAAGGTTTTTTTTCATAGTTTAAAAAACGACGGTAAAGTATTTTCATATATCCTTAAAAAATCATCTTAAGCATTAAAAATAATGTAAAAATATTAATGGTTTGATTTTATTTGTGTCTCTGGTAATTTAGTGCAATATTGTGCTATAATGTAGGAACTCGTGAACTAAAACGGATAAAGAATTGTATCAAAAAAAAAAAAAAACAGATAAAGAAAAAATGGAAGTAACAAAGAAGGAGAGAATGAAGACACAATACTTTCCTTTATGAATCGAGATGATTTACTTAGGCTTAAGTCCATCCTATTTATAGTATAATACACGAATAAGAAGAAATGGAATTGATTTTTTTAATCATAATTTTATTTTTCTTTTATTCACTGTTTTTTCAATTATGCGTGGTTTAAATTTCTTATTTTATACGCTATGAAATAGCTCATATTTTTATATTAATTATGTTTTATTTATTCAAAAAAATTCAAATATGCAGGAAAATAACATCTTCACTAGTTTCTAGATCTAAAAACTAAAATGTTTCACCTCCTACTTCCCGGTGCTGCTTTGCGAGCTCAAATTGTCTTATCGCGCCAGCACACATACACACAAAGACACACGCACATTGGTTCCTACCTAACTAATTCCAACTTTCAAATAGATTGTGCAATCTTTTATGCACGTCTATGACTACGTTACGTCGTTACTTGAGTGGCCCTATACCTTACTACTTAGATGATACCATTGTGGGGTTCATATGTGAACCATTTTTTTATTTATGGCCAAAACAAAATTGGCAGACATCTGTGACCTCGTAAACTTACGCAAGGTTGAAATTGCAGGCCATTGCATGATTAATATTGCATATGTTTATTTATTATAATTATGAAATGACATTTGGCATAATTATAACCAAATTATATTCAATCTGTTTAAAATTATTGGTTAAGGTCTACACTTAATTACATGGATCAGGAGTAGGACCACCTTCGGTAGAGCCAAAAATACAAGAGGAGTAGTTACTAAAATAAAAATAAAAATACATGAGGTGTAATTATAAATTTAATGGTGCAGATTTTTTTTAATATATATTCGTGCATAAACTGGGCCTTGAAAGCTGAAACACAGCTCTGTCAACTGTTCTACCGTACAGGCAAATAACTATAAAAAAATTCAGCGATAAAATTTAATAACAAAATATAATCTGACACACGGGAGTGACCATTCATTCCCATTTGGTTTTTCTACTGTACAGAATCAATTCAACTCAATACTTAAACTGTTGGGTGAGGTTAAATTAATAGTTGTATATATTTCAACACGTTCCCTCACACGAGAGTCCACTGGGCTTGAAGAGTGCACAAAGCGGGCGGCGAGGATCGAACCCGGAACACGAGGCTCTGATACCATGTAAAGAACCAATTCAACCCATAAGCTTAAGCTGTTGGGTGAGGTTAAATTAATGATTTTATATATCTCAACATCTATTTTTATATTTATCCTGGGGAATCAATATGCCCGAAAACAAAAGAAAATTAATATTTTTTCCTCTTTCTTTTATAAATAAAAATATATGAAGAATTAGACAATTGTGGAGATATAAGTTCTCTGCCAAGGATTAGACATCATGTTTTTATTGCTTGGCATCCTCCTCCGGAGGGATGGATCAAATTTAATTCAGATGGAGCTTCAAGAGGTAATCTTGGTTTTGCAGCTTGTGGTGGGATTGCTAGAGACAATCTTGGTAACTGGTGTGGTGGCTTCTCTTTTGGTATTGGTATCTGCTCGGCTATCATAGCTGAGTTATGGGGGATTCTTAAAAGTTTGGAACAAGCTTGCGAAAAAGGATATAAAAAAATAATTATTGAAAGTGATTCTTTATATGCAATCACGGTGCTCACCAAACCTGGTGATGCGGCCCGAGAGTCTCATCTTCTGACTCGCATTCGGGCATGGCTGAATAAAGATTGGCAGGTGTTTCTACAACATGTCTACGGGGAGGGTAATATGTGTGCAGACTGGTTATCCAACTATCCCTTAGATCATCCGCAAGATGCTAGTTTTCGTTTCTACCATTTTCCTCCGTTTGGAGTTAGGCATTTATTTTTAGCTGATATAGCTTCTATCAGTTTTCCTCGTTTAGTTACTTTGTAATTCTTGTTTTTGCTGGGGCTTTGCCCTTTAGCTTACCAAAAAATAAAATAAAATGAAGAAGATTATACTCATGACCTATTTTCGTTTACAATATTTTACAATCATATCTTAACCGTTGATTTTCGTCAATCAATGGTTATTGTATTCGCAAATCAAACTCATTAATTAATTATTAATTTGCAATAAATGATAACTGTTGATTGGAGGAAATCATCGGTTAACATATGGTTGTAAAAGATTGTAAACGAAAATAGATTATAAGTATAACTTTCATCGAAAAACATTAGTATTACTTGCTCGCAACAGCTGCAGTTTCTATACAACGAACAGTGAGCATAATGGCATTTTTTTGTAAAAACATTTTTCAAGTCACGCGAATAGTATGATTTTTCAAAATGCCACGTATCCAAATTCACTATAACAAATACTGAGTTTGCTTTGCTTATGTGTCAGGTTTGAGGTTGCCACCTTACTCGCTGCATGGCATAGCGAGTTATGTGATTAAAGTGTCAATCTGCTTTGAGCACAAGCAAGACACATGGCAACCTATGGCCACCTAACCCGACCCACTACTTGTTTTAGCGAGTTAGGTGGTCAAAGTATCAATATACTCTAAGCACAAACAGGATGCATGGCAGCCTGTAACAAACTTG